GCCGCCGTGGAGTTTGGGCGCTTGTCGTTGCGTTCCTGGGCGTGGTGCAGACTTCACGGCAGCTCCTTGTTCTCCTTGCCCCTTCGGAGGAGGGAGACCTCCCCGGCTCCGTTTGGTTTTACTCCATACTTTGGACTCAGAAGTGGGAGATTAGGGTTTGTGTTTTTTTGTTTTTTGTTTTTGGCTTGTGCTCTTGCGTTTTAACAGTAAAAGTGGGTAGGAACGCATGGGGTAAGCGTGTGCAGGTTGTTAGACGTTATTGCGTGTAATTTCTGTGGGTCTTCGGGGGAGAAGAGCAGGCGTTGGGAGAGTGGTTGGAGGCGGGGGCGGGCGTGGGGGCGGAGGGGAGCCCCAGCCTGGCCCCGCCATTGACAGGTCTGCAGCGCGGACGAGGTTTCCGTGGCATTATGTAAACTCTCCTCGGGCGGCAGCCCCCTCCCCCTACCGCGGGGCGAGGGCAGCTTCTTTATTTACCTGCCGCTGGTGTCGCAGGAAACTTCCCTGCCATGGCAGCGGCTGGGCAAATGCAGCAGCGCCCGCCTGCCCTGTCCGGGGCGGTCCTGGCGTGAGGAAGGCCCTCGAAGAGGAGGTGCCCGGTGTAGGGACATGGGGGGGCAGACGTTCAGTGAACCACTCTTTCCAGCGGCTGAGCACGGCGAGCCGCAAGCCACAGACCGAGTATTCCAGGTCCTTTTCTTTTAAAGAACGTCCCAAGCACCAGCCAGAGGAGCTGCAGAGTGGGTGACTCCTGCCTCCTGCCACCCCGCACCCCGCGGCCCCAGATCCTTGACTTACTCCCCCGCCGTCCTGAGCCTGTCGATGCTGCCTGCCAGGGGTTCTCCGCCGGGGTCGTCCTGCCATCAGCCCCATGCCCATCTGGCGTGGGGCGCCTTCGGTACTAGATGCTGAGTCTGCGATGTGAAGACGGCCCTCCTTTAGTGAATGAGATCCTGTCTTCCGCGGCAGAATTTCTTTGGAGTTGGTCACCAAATAGATTTCGGGACAGATTGTCAGCCTCTTTCGGGCCAGAATGTGAGAGGCTTCCCATTCCAAGTATTTTGGAATTAATCCTGCCCCCTTAACAAGAGTTATGAGAAGGAAAACATTTTTCGTTTAAGAAGGCCTGAGTTGCAAGAGTGGCATACCAGTGGGTGTGCAAGGCAGGATGAAGTACACTGGCCAAAGACAGGGTAGGCGCGTGTGTGTGTGTGTGTGGGGGGGGGGGGACAGGCTCGGGTGGGAGGTTTAAAACTGAAGTATCGAAGAAGTGATGGGTGTTGATAAGGCATCTGATGAAGCAGTGAGCGGGTACTTGCACAATTCACACTTTCCCCATGTTGTTTGATCTGTCTTCTGCATCTGGCCTTTTGATTTTGTCAGTACCCAAGTTGACAAAATCCACTTAGACGTGGATAGAAAATGATACAAATCTGCTGAGCTGGCTGTGAATCACCAGGAGACAGAGATCTTGTATTTCCTAGGACAGCCTTGTCTGCAGCATCGCTGGGTGCTGGAGTGGAAGAGTCCTGGCATTATCATCACCACCACTGCAGAGTTTTGGTTGTAAAATGAAAAATTTGACATTTTACGTGAAGGGTCGAGTTTCTGATAGGTAAGGTAGGATGGTGAGGGGGCTCTGTCTTAAAAAACAAACACACACCATTGCACACATCTTTTAAAAACGGTGAGCTCTTTCTAAGCAAAACTACCACTTAAGAGTAACTGGTGGGTGCCAAGAACGGTGCTTGCTTACTGAAAGAATGAGATTTGATATTCCCATCTGCTGAAATACTGTAACATTTTCAGAACATTCAGAGAGATGCCAAATGCTTTAGAGATACTGTGTCCACAGCCCTGCAAGAGTTAAGCTAGCTTCTGAGCTTACGTTGAGCCTAAATAGCTCCGGGATAAACAGAGACAAATATTTTTGTGGACCTCTCACCCTCACCCCTAGAAGTCAGTCCTC